TGGATTCATCCCAAATGCTGATCGACAGATGCACCGGCCTCACCATGCTTTTTCCGTGAGCCATGCGTTTGTATGCATGAGCAGTCGCTCCAGCACTCGCTTTGCCAGTGTTAATGGATGGACGGACTGCTTCCCTACAGAACAGGTTCTGCCAACATAGTCTTCATCATTGAAGCATGAGAAAAATCGCGGGTTTGCCCGCGAACCCCCCTGAATCCGCAAGACTGTTTCGCAGTGAAAGGAATGGCACTTCGGTCTGACTTTGTACCTGGGAACAAATTTCTGCAGGTAGTCATTTGCCAGTGCCACGTAAGTTTGTATATACAACAGGCCGGCATTGACTGCCTTATCGGCTGCAGCTTCATTCAGCCACATTTTGGCACCATCCAAAGTCTGGCCAAAGGTGTGAATGGCCCATGCACACACAGCCTGGTCGTGGAGCTCAGCGATGCCAGCATTCGAGCATGCCTGCATGCATGCATGTGTTTTAATTGCACGCTCAAAAAAGTATGTTGCAGCATACAGTTTCATGCATTACAAGTTGCAATCATGCGGTCAGCTATATACGCCATCCTTATATCGATCGGCACTGGGAAAAATGGGAGAACATGCACATGTCAAGTCATATATGCCAATTGCTACAGATATTTCGACAGACTTTGCTGGCAAAGTGGCAGAACACGGTTTGTGAAGCCATGACATGGTCCTTGAGGGTAGTCCAGGCTCACTGCATCGACTCCAAGCTTGGTTAAACCTGCAGGTCCGCATCGGCATATGATATATTTTTTTTATATAGCTACCATGCAAGCACTATATCTGCACATTTGTGCAAACAAGAAACTCCAATCGTCCACCAAGGATGGCGACAACCCGTGTCGTTGGCACCAACTGCGCGCATCCAGGGCCAGCACCTGCACGTACGCTACATTAATGTGTTTTCAAAAAATGCCAAAAAGCATGACGCACTGAAACAAAACCTGTGGACACATGCTACGTGCTTTACATGAGGCCTGAAGGCGTTCATCCCATGTCTCCAGCTCGGCAACAAGAGGACTATGTTCTGCCAAGTCCATCAGCATGGAACCAACACAGTCCCGGACTGTCCCAATCCACAAAGTGTGGAGAAGATCTGGGTATTTCCATGGAAGGATGCCAACCCCATAGCTGCTTCAGAGCTATTTCAGGCCCACAGCCTGCACTGCACGACAAATGTCTCGAAAACAGTGCCATTTGCCTGCATGGATCGGCGATAAATATATATATATACATATATGCATGTGCGTGTGTCTGTGAAAATATGATCTATATAATATATATATATATTTATATATATATATGTATTTATATTATGTATATGACAAAAAATGATGCCAAACTCGTAGCGGGCAACTCGTTTCGCAAGCGGCTGCCAGATCTTCAGCATTGTTGAAGCGCTGATGCACAGGATCCAGCCAAGGCTTTCCTGCTGACCCTGCAAAGCACCTAGGGCAAATGAGACCAATCCCTTGTTCTGTCTTGGCAGCCTTGCCATAGTGACGGCTCTGCTGGAGCCACTCGCGCTTCCATTTCCAATCGCCTTTGCCACCAACATAGACGATGTTGATGCGGCTTGGTTCCAAGCGTGCACATTTGTTCAGGCTCCTAGGTACGAAAAAAACAGTTGCAAAATCAATCATGCATGTGTGCACTGTTACGAAAGTATTCTACCTGCAAGCGAAGCAAAGCAAACATGCAGCTTTTCATTTATCAGCCTAATTTTAAACAGAAACGTGATATCCACTCGTCGATGTATACCCTGCAAGCTCTCACAGCGTACATGATGCAACATGACTCGGCACACCGTATGTCCTCACAAACGCGTCTTGCAAAGCTTCAAAGGTGATGTTCTTTATGCCATCATATGCATAATACTTCGAATGCATCACCTACAGAGGGCCGCGGAGCGGGGCTGCAGGTATTATATGCTAAATTGACATGTCCATTGCATTGATCCAAGGGGCCGCGAAGGGAAATCGGCAATGAAATGTCTTGCCAGATATACCAACTGCAGACCACGAGATCACAAGGACGCTCCTGTCACGTTTTCCCTGTCCTTCGTCCCCATGGACAGAGATACCGACAGTTGCAGCACGGACATCGGCAGGCCACTGTTGGATCGGATGGTTCCTTGTATGGTTTTGCATAGATCATGCACTCAAGCATGCAAAGTTTGCAATTGTACAGCTTCCGTCATTTCATCTGTTATACGGAGCAGATTATATTGCAAAGAAGAAGCAATCCCCATGGTTCCATCTTTGCGGACTCCCAGAACTCAAGCCAATCCACATCACCCTTCCTCGCGGGCAAAAAAAATAAGGCAAATCATGCAGGAGCGTTCACAGTTCACATCTTGCATGCATGCAAGTGTCACCAAATGAAGAGCATCAGCGGCCGCAATGGCTTCCAGCATTCTGTGCGGGGCATATATGGGCCACCTCTTGTATACAATTGCTGCTGCAGGAACCCCATCCTTCTTGGGTTTTCGGTTCTTTGCCTTTGGGACACCACGACCGCGGCCTCTGCCTCGGCCCTTTCCCCTAGAGCTAGCCTTAGCTTTCCGCAGAATGCCCAGGTCCACCACCGGCACTGTGACGTAGGACATGGTGCAACGGATTATTTCATGGGCGAATCGACAAATTGCACCCAAGCTGCGATCACATGTGGCCAGGAATGAATGTTCAGACATGCCTGCATGCATATAAGCGAGTTGCATCCTTCCCTCTGGACAAAGCCTTGTGTATCCTCTCTTCAAAGTTCCCTTGACGGCTAGCAGCCCATCTGGTACCTCACAGCATGCACACATGCTAAATGCAATTGTAAATTTAATCACCGCAAAAACAAAAAGGTAGCTATCTGCATCCATGGACAGGTCCCCAAACATCGCTGATAAATGGAGCCAGGTTGCTCCCACTGACATTTTCCGCACCTGCCTCTTCCACTGCAGCACTGCAGATCTTCTGGAGAAGATGTGCTGGTCTTCCCTTGCCAATCTCACTGCAAACAACTCGGCTCAATGGAGAGGTCAACGACAAGTCGTCTCGGGATCGGCTGCTGCTAGCCGTCGACGAACCTGAATCACGCCGTTTTTTGAGCGCCTGCAACCACTTACACTTCTGCATCAGCCAAACTGCGAATCCGAGAAACAGTCCGCATGCATGCGTGCATGCATGAAGGGAAACACTGCGTGACATGCGTGACTGACTGGCAAAGCGTGGTGAAGAGTGCACGCGTGCATGTTTTGAACACTCGCAGTCAGCGCTTGAGATATGTAAACAATTCCGCGTCTATATTGATATAGACAAGGCGGAGAGAAATGTAGAATCCAGACCATCCGTGGAGCTCATGGGAAACCTACATATGCATACATATATATATATATAAATATTGCATGCACTGGATATATATATATATATGCATGTGCATGCATATAATTATATATGCTGTTTTTCGTCCTCTGCGTGGCTCCGGATCTATGGCGGATCGTGCCTGGATCTGCTTATGTTCCAAACCGAAGCGACCTGACCATGTACCCTATATACTGCAGCAAGCTCAATGCATCTCAATGCCATAAGCACAAATTTGTTGGTGACATATGTTGCACGTGCGCTACAGGTGAACTTTGCGCATGTGCATGCATGCATGCTGTGAAGCATATTCAGCCTGCATCCCCACATGTGAGCCATGATGGCACGTCTAGCGCCAAGCTGTCAGGTGGATGTTTGTAAGTTGACAAAAAGTCCACAAGGCCATGCAGCCGATCATTTCTGTTACACCATGGCCCACATATTGACAGCTCTGCATATGCTAGCGCATGACGCTGGAATATTGAAGAACCAAAACAAGCAAAATCAAGTAATTTGTATAATGGCAAATCTACAGGATTCCAGCAGTCCTGTGCTAGAATACTAGCTGGTGCCCGCAAATATGATCGCTTCGGAAAAAATGGACTGCAGGTTTCAGCATCAGATATCCTAGGCGCAAATCAGCTAGAGCAATCAACTCTTCGTCGATCTTCTTCGAAAAAATGCATCAAGCATGCTTCAATGAAAAAAATCAGCCCAGTGTCACTCGATCTCCTCCTTGGCCTTTCTGCTCTTCTTCGCAGGCCGTGGCTCCGCCTCTCTTTTCGCAGCGGCAATCCTGGCATCGGCATATTTCATGGGAATGTGCATCAAAATAAAGCATGCATATATACATGTATATACTATATTGTCGAGCCGCAGCTGGTTCGCAGTCTTGGTGTGCTTTTTGAAGGCCACCACAAAGGTCTTCGCCTCTGCTGCACAGATTTTACATATTGTGATTGTAATTGTCCACATGGATTATATTGTTGCAAGAAAACATCAGAGCACACCCTTTGCGACCCAGTCTCCTTTTGCAGAACTGCTGTCACCGACTCGGGGTTCACATCGTGTAGGGCAATCAGTTCTTTGCGGCTTTGCGCCAAGCCATCTCCAGCCTGCCGGATCAAACCACAGAGCTGTTCCTGGCTCTCGAATTGCTCCAACTGCGCACTCACAGATGCGGCTTGTCCCTGGGCTGCAGCTGCCTTGCGAATCCATTGCGAAACGAAGGACGGCAGGTCATCTTCTTGCATCAGCTCGCATTCCATCTCCGAGCCACGTGGTTTGGGTTGTGTCTTCGGCTTTGGCTTCGCCTTTGGTTTTTGATCTCCAGTCCCACCTCTCTGCTGGTCACTTGTCTTCTCCGGCTCACTTCTGTCTACTGTGCTTTCTCGCTGTGCAGGCTGCAGCTGCTGGGTGATAGGGTTTCCATGCTTGATCCGAGTCATCAGGTCCACGGCCAGCTGCGGCTCAACCCCCAGCTCCATGGCGATGCTGTCCTCATACAACACATGCAGCATTAACAACAACAACAACAACAACAACAACAACAACAACAACAACAACAACAACAACAACAACGACAACAATAATAATAATAGCAGTTATTGATATACATTAAGGCAGGAGAGCTTCCATCGTCTTTGTGGTGTGGCTTTTCTTCTCTCGTCCATACAGAATGTAGGTTTCTTCACCTGAGTTGCGGCAAGTGGAGGTACCCCCATCCATCCGGCGTTTGGAGCGAAGATCCTCCGCCTTCATCGCATCGCCGCCATAGTATCTGACCAAGTCTGCAAAGGTGTAGTACTCACCCTCATCCTTGTTTTCAGTTTCGGAGTAGACCTGAAACCGCATGACCGCCTCCACGGCCAGTGGGTTGCAGTTTGCCATGACAAATTTTTTGAATGCAGACATTTTGGCAGCTCCGCCTTTGTTCCACGCGGTCTGGATCTCCCCCTTGTTGGCTTCAGCCCATCGCTTGAAAGCTGCAAACTCCCTGGGGTGAGATGCGCTGTTGCATCGATCTATATCTCCCGGGCCGTTCTAACAAGTAAGCATTCATTGGCTACATCCTAGCACTCGAGCCAAACACCCCAAACATAAAGAAACCAAAATCACCAACAAATTAAACCAAGTAAAAAACAACGCAAAAATGTCGATGGAAAACGGAGTGAGCTGTAGCTCTGGTCGAATCGCGCATCTCCCTTTTTCCATTGCCAGTTAGTCATGTGGCTGTGCCACATCAGCAGCATGTCATGGTTGATGGTTGCATTTCACCCATCCCATGCAGAGAAGTTGATGGCCGAGCCCTTCAGGCTAGGCGTCGAATCCATGCGGAGTGTTTGATTGTTGAAAACAAAAAAGGTCAACAGCCCTAGGTGTGACAGGACCAGATTTACTAACGAAAGATTGGTCCACATGGATACACTCGCGTATGCGAAACGCAACGGATGCTTGGAGGACTGGTCGTCCTGGAATTGCAATCGGATGTTTGCCAGGCAAGCGGCCGTAGTCTTGCCATTTTGAGGAATGGTCATGCCGGTTCGGATACCGTATGGGAACGGTCGGATGCCTTGTTTCGTCGCTCAGCGGGTGAAAATGTGAAATGCACGCATGGGAACCACACTCGTGAGTTATACTCCAACTGATGCTAATAGGGAAAACAATAGAGATGAAAAGTTTTAGCATTGCAGGTAAACCTAAAGGAAATATAAAAAGCGGGCAGTTGGAGAAATGAGTGGTTTATCCCTGACAGGCTATGATTCCCCCACCTGAATGTTGATAAGCAACAGCGGAATAGAGTAATTGAAAACTTGGTAAGCCATAATGAAAATCAGGTGAGGGAGGGTGGCTGTTTGAAAATTAATGAATGCTTACTTGAGCCAAAATGTAATGAAGCATTACATTGATTAAAACACAAATGAAACAAGTACATTAAGAGTTCTAACAAGTAAGCATTCATTGGCTACATCCTAGCACTCGAGCCAAACACCCCAAACATAAAGAAACCAAAATCACCAACAAATTAAACCAAGTAAAAAACAACGCAAAAATGTCGATGGAAAACGGAGTGAGCTGTAGCTCTGGTCGAATCGCGCATCTCCCTTTTTCCATTGCCAGTTAGTCATGTGGCTGTGCCACATCAGCAGCATGTCATGGTTGATGGTTGCATTTCACCAAAATATTTCTATCAACCAGGACTTACTGAATGCCCCAACAAACCCCTCAAATAAAAGTGTGAGGTAAGGACTGGCAATGGAATATAGGAGGTTACGGAAGTGGCCATGAAACTGTTGATCCCTTTGGGAAAATCGAAACTGCTTTGGTCGGGTGCCAAATTTGATCTAACGAAATTCGGATGCGGTCGGATGCTTGAAGGTTGGGAGGCAAGGGCTCCTCTAGGTTCATTCTGGAAATCATGTCAGCCAACTCATTGGCATATCCTGGGATGTGTGAAACATCTAATTGTGCATGGACTGCTGAAGATAACAGGCAAAGCTTTTCGACAAAGAAACACAACGGAGTTTTGGTGGTGAAGAGGGAGTTTGAGGTGGATTCTGCTGCCGTGTTATCACTTAAGCTTTTTAATGTGAGTGCAAAGCGCTGGGAAGGCAATAAGCTGCATAGGGAATATAAGAGACAAATTTGGGCTAATGTCTCATAGCTACTAATATCTTTCTGCATATCGGAGGATACTGGAATTTCGAGTTTGTGGAAATCGGATGCTATCCATTTTTCGCTGAACCAGCGTAAGTCACCATTGGCAAATCTGAGAAAACCTCCAATCTGACAATGATCCTTGTCTGCACAGGCATCTGCCGCGGCTTCGCCAGCCCAAGGTAATCTAGGGTTCATTGAAACTATCGGATTTGAATATTGAAGCCAGGTTGAGAACATGGTCAATATTCTTTGAGAATCTTTGCTGATCGATCTTTTGGTTGACAAGGGGTCCATGATGCGAACCCAAATACGTTTTTCCGACAATCGGCAGTTGCGGACATCTTCCAAGGTAGCCACCGGCTGGTGACGAACTGACAGTAATTTCCCGCCTTCTGGTATGGCTGTGCCGATAGGCCGAGAAGTAAATTGTAGGTCTGGGCTCAAGCACGACAATGTGGTGAGCCAAAAACCAGGGTCAATGGAATATGATGTGCCAGGTGCTCTATAAAGGTCTGTGTATAAGTGGTGCAAGAAAGCTCTCATTAGAGGAAAAAGCTGCGTAATCCAAAGCGCCAGTCCAATGAACTTTTCAATGTTCTTCTTGGAGGTTTTCGGATGGGTCAAAAGCTCAAGGATTAATCGTTGCAGTTTTTCCCTTTTGCTCTGTTGCAGTTTGACCTGACCGATGGAAAAATTAAATGTCCACCCGATCCAATTGACCTCTTTGTGTAGTTCTGCTTTTCGCCAGCTGATGGGAAGTCTAAAGGCCTGAACTAGTAGAGCTACAAGTGCTGCTGTGATGGGTAAAATATCCAAACGTTGAACCAGTAAGTAGTCATCGACGAATAGGAACAAGGCGTGGGCTGTGTAAATAAACTGGTGCAGGAGTCTTGTAAAAAAGGATCCTAATCTGGCCCACCACCACGCACTGAACCGAGCTCCGAAGGGACATACTTTGTAGAAATACAACCGCCCTTTGAACGAAAAGCCTACTAGGCCTCGATGACTGTGGTGAAGGACGCAAAGTTTATGGGCTGCGCGGACGTCGAGCCCCATGGCGCCCAGTTCTTCATTATGACCACGAAGAGGGAAGGAGCGTACTACGTCCTTGGCAGACGGCAGTTGTTGATGTTCAGGTATGTCGCAATTGTGGTTGGTGCCTGAAACCGTAAAGTCGACCACTAATCGTGGTGGACGGGTGTCCGATGTGGCAATTGAAAGTTTCCCCACTGCAACGCCAAGGGGATATTCACGTTTGGCATCCTCAAGGTTTCCAGGGAAACAAATAAGCCATCCTTTGGCGATTTCTTCTTGGACCAGCTCTTCCGTGAGTTCCGGTTGGGATTCTGCTGTCTGCCAGTTTGTCCAATGGACGGACAAATCCGGCCGTGCTGGTTCCTCGGTGGGTGGTTTGGCTGCAAACACATTTGAAGGAGCGATGTTGTCTTGGAAACCAGTGGAAACTCCTTCGATGAGGGCTGGAAAAAGGTTTCGATCCGGATCGTTCATGTAATGGCTAATGGCTTGAAGGGCATGCAAACAGAGCGGCTGATCTGCACGCACTTGCCAATCTAGTGGTCGGCCAAGGGGCAGCAATGTGTCAAGGGACGCACGGAATTGTTGTACCAGGTCTTCCGAAAATGGTGGATCCACTTGTTGCCGCTGGAAATGCCCCACAATAAACTTATGTAAATCATACTTTAGAATTTTGGGAATCCAAAAATCCCGGACTGATCGAAAGATGTTCTCTTTGTCTGCTGGGGGTCTGGACCAGTCTGGAGATGATTGTAAACCTCCCCCATCCACAAAACTTTTGGGATCTTGGAACCAATCTTTGTGGGGAAAAAGCGAAAAAGCTGAGTCCCACGAGATATCCTCTTTTAGGGGGGAAAGTAAAACTGAATTTTTTTGTGCAAAAGCCGCTGCTAATTTCGTTGGGTAGGCTGCAGAACGCCGGCTCAAATAAATACCATGTTCGTCCTTTGTACCTGCAATGGATTTGTGGGATCCTTGTGCATGGGTACAAACTGCTGCAATAGCTGACAGAGGCGCGAATGATGATGCAAATAACCATGTCTTCTTGATGTCCCAGTCAAAGGCGCAAGCTGCTAATAAAATTAGGCAACAGTTGGCCATCTGAATCCAATTTCGTGTGGATGATTCCCTCCAACTCATGGCACCGGAGGGTTGCTCAACATGGCCATGACCGCCAGCCACATAGGTACAGTGGACTGAATTGACTGATCGATCCAACAGTGTAGCGCTGTCTTGAAGGCGCTGTTGTTCTGCAGGGGATAAATCAGGGATTCCTTGCATCATCTCTGGTGTCCGGATGGCTCTCGGCCCACCTGGACGAAGTTTGAGTAGGCTGTACTCCGTGCAAGATGGAGATGCCGCTGCATAGCCAATGACTCCGGAGCCACTCAACCTCAGTAGTTGTTCGTAGAATTGATCATTTAATATATCCATGCGGCTATCCAGTAAAATGTCAATGGAGAGAGCTGGGAATCCCATCGCCCTGACTGCTTGAGAAAGAGGGCAATCTGCTCCGCTGCAAATATCCAGGAAAATTTTTGTGCCCATGCAACTCCAGGGAGTGAGAAGGTCTTGACTCACATTGTACAAAGCTGGTGTGATCGTGGTATGTGAACTCTGTGTATGTTGATGTTCCATGGGTATGTCTCCACTGTCCATGTTAGGGATCTCCTCGACCATGGCATCCGGCTGAGGTGCTACATGTGATGAGGCCGAATTTGCCTGCATGTCTGGCGCAAAATGCGCTGGTGAAAACCCCAAAGACTTGTCCTCCTGTTGGTGTTCAAGGGGAGGATCATCGCTGAGTTCAAACTGAGCAATCGTCATATTGGAAGGTGATACTGATGGACTCTGCTGCAAAAGTCAGTGTGGAGTCTTGTCGTGCTCGATGGCAGGGTGCGCTGCCCCGCATGCCGTACCGTCTGTACGAGGGTAGCCGCATGCATGTTCATATCTGCAATCCTTGTTGGAACATTTCCCAGTTTGAAATCGCATACATAGGGTCTTCTTTTGGGACCCTTTCCATAGCTCTGAGACCCAACGGACCGAAGGTTTGCCAGTTCCCTTGGAGGGTTTTCCCCCCCCCTTTCCTGATGATTTGGCTGCTTTGCCACCTTTGAATGGTGTGTTGCTAGGAGGAGGTGTAGGCTTGGTCAACTTGGGCCGAGGTTGGAGCAAGGCAGCCAGATCCCCCCGATTTTGCGTAAACTCAAGCAATGCATCATCCAATGTCCATTCCGGTGACTCACATAGTTCTGCAATCAGGTGCCAAATGTGCTTATCTGCATGTTGGGCTTCAAGGATAGATGGTGCTCTCAACCCACTTTCTGCATCCAGTCGCACCGACAAAAAAGACATGAATTTCAAGCTGTAAGAACGTAGCCTATGTAAGTGGCACGCCTGAACCATGGCCCATGCATAGTTGTGCAAGTCAAACATGCGGTTCACTGCATTCAAACCCAGATTTTGGTTGGAGATCTCTAGGGAGGGGATCTCGTCGATAAGCAATTGATGCAATTGTACGTTCTCCAACCTCGGGGCTTTGGAAGCTCGACTCAAGGACATCTCTTCGGATCGAGCTACTGACATGCGGTATTTCCACGGCAACCATTTGTACTCTTTCTTTTGGTGTAACTGAAATGCTAGTGCCAGTAATCGGGCACTTGGTTGTGTCTCAGGGGTGACAACTTCCGACGGAAAATTGGCACAAAACTTCATTTTCAATTGGGATACCGTCGAACTGGTCAACTTCGGGGGGAAAGATTCCGACCATGTATTGTCTGTCGCTGATGGTGTCCCTGCTGCGGATGATGTGCCTGTTGGGGCAGTGGCTTCCTGAATTGGAGTTGCCTGGAGACTGCGCCAAGCTCCCTTGATGCATGACTTCTGAAGTAGGGACAGACTAACATCATGGCATAGTTCTGCAAACATCTGATCCGTGAAATCTGAGGGCGAAGCTGCGATTTCTCGAAATGAAGTAACGGTCCATCCATCTGAAACCAGATTTGATGCCAGGGCTGGGTCAACTCCTGCATTGCCTAGAATCGTATCCAGTGAGTCGTCCATGATTGGATCACAGAATGCCAAATTGGCAGGTGAAAGCAAAACACAATAAACGTTTGGTCCGGTGGATCAACACAACTCTAGGTTGTGGTGCAGATAATTAAATGTTGGGTTAAAAGGAAACCCCCCCCCCATTTTGCAATTGTGTGAACAAAGAAAAACCGATCACTATGGTGTAAATGTGTCGCATGAACTTGGTTGTACGGAAATGACTGTTGTCTGTGAGCTGAGCCATCAGCTATGGACCATGACAGTGGATGCACTTGCATCCTCAATCAAACAAAGCCCCTGGCGGTGGTCGCAGGTGTCACATGAGATTGATTTGAACTGTCAGCCGATGAAAATTTGCTGTTCAAAACAGAAACAAAAAATGAATGAACCCGACATGCACTGACTGATAAGGACAACAATTCGCCACGTGACTCTCTCCAATCATATCAAATGATGATCAATATGCTAGTGACACATGAGACTCACTGACATGTTGAAATGTCTGGCTCCAGCTGATTTGGCCATCCGGCCCCCACGCATGAATTTTTTGGGACTCGACTCGCCATCATCCGATGGTTGAGTGGGGCAAGCGGCCCTATGTTCTGATCTACAGAAGGCTGCTTTTCCAAGCTTTCATGCAGGCTGGTCGCTGGCATAGCGATTTGCTTTGCTCAAGGTCTCTGGAGAATTGGACTCTGTCAGAATCCAATCTAGCGCCACAGGCTGCTTGGTAATATTTGCCCTCATGATAGGGCTTCCAGTCGTCCACCGTGGGCAACATGGCGTGTTGCACATTTGTCACAAAGCCGACTAGGATTTCATCGGCGGCTTCAACATGAGCTGTGGTTTTGGGCTTCTTACGTACATTGGGCATTGGCTCAGCTGCATCTGATTCCTCTGATGACGAGGAGCTGGAATCACTAGAGTCGGAATCACTCCATTCCGTGGTGTCTTGTGGCAACTCTTCAACTGCTGAGGTCTCGGCTGAGGTGGCTGCAAATTGGAAACATTTCCATTTGGGGTACAATGACTCTTTGCGAAAAAATTCAGCTTGGATAGGTGGTTCATCCATTGGGTGTTGGGCCCCTCTGTGTTGAGCTGTCCTGAAACGGCCACCTCTTCTGACAAAATTGATGACCTTCTGCTGAAAAGATAATTGACCATGCACGTCATCTCTGCTGTAAATGCGAAGGCTTTTGCTGGTACCCTGCCTATGATGTCCCTGAAGCATGCGTTCTTCCGGAGTAACTTTCCCTTCTGCAATCAATTGGGCTCCCCATGCAAGCAAAGTGCTTTTCATGGAGTGTGCTGTCCATTGAATGGATTGCTGAGTGCTGGACTTCCATGGTAGGGCTGTGGCACATCTTAACCATGCAAGGGCATCCGCATAGGTCATCGGAGTCCAAGGAATTTCAATTCCAGAGGTCCCTAATTTTGGAAACAGGAAGTCCGGGACCGGCATGTCTAAATTTGTGGATTTGGCCTGATGCCAAAGGTCGTCCATCGTGGTCAACCATTTCTCAACCCAGTTAAATGTTCCCAATGACATGAAGCCTGATGCTAGCAGGCCCCAGGGTTGCCCGCTGCTGGATGTCTTCGTCCGCCAGCAGCTGCCTCGCAATGAGGTTCCATCAAAGCAAAAAGAATGGTAACTGCATCGTTGGGCATCAGCAAAACGCATGCCCGACCACATGCAAACTAGAATGGCTCCAATGATCACTGTTTCCACTGTGCTGCAAGCGGACATGAGTAACCGTCTTTCAAGTTGCCACACTGTGTACAGCGAAAGGGGCAGTGCCTCTTTGAGCTCCTTCGGGATTCTGCTGCGCAGGAAACTATCAATTAATGGGCTCCATGCATGTCTCAACCCCTGCACACCAGCATGAGTAGCTACCCATCGGATGGATTTGATGGTTATGTGGCTGCCCGCACTGCAATCAGATTTCTTGCTGAGGGAAGTGGCAATTAAAACATCTGCAAGTTGAGCTTCCGACAGGTCGGCGATCGACAAGTTCAAGCTATGCAATGTATTGCGGAAACTCTGCCAAGCTGCAAAATATCTCAGTAATGTTGAAGCAGCAAATTGATCCAACAATCTAGCAGCATGAGCCTCTGGGTGGTCCGACTGCTCGAGCGTTCGAAAAACTGATGAATCAGAGCCAAGCCGAAGCAAAATGCTTCTCCACTCCTGAACCAGCCAAGCAGATTTGGATGGGTATTGAATTCGCAGTACATCTGATTGTTGTGAGACTTTGCATGCAGTTCCTCTGGAAACGGGTGGTTTGACATGTTGGCCAAAAATTGGAATCGGCTGAGGTGAAGCGGCTGGTTGTGAAACTGCTGCAACCTGTTGATGATCTACATGAGCTAGAATGGGATTTACCCGTGATACTGACTTCGGCATAGGCCTGGCTAAAGGGACAGGCAGTCCTCCAAACTGGAGAGGCGGACCCTTGTATTTGGGTTGGTTGGGCATTTTCTCTACTGTCGGTCTGGCAAGTGGCTCTGATTTCGGAGTCGCCGGGATGAAAATCCAGTCTGTTTCATGGGGAATCATTTGAACTTCCACTTGATGAAACTGGTGAATCACTAGATACTGATGGACCACTCGACACTGCTGGAGTTCCTGGGGCTTGCACGCGTTGAACTGGAGGAGATTGCACTGATGATGCTGATGAGTACTCAAATAGCAAAAGGAGTCTGGCGTTTGAGTTTCTCAGTTGTCTCCAATCCACTGGACCTAAATGAATCAAAATGCAGCTGCGAACTCGGCGGTCTGGGCCCAGTGCGAAGAAAACCGATCGAAAAAGTGCTGTTCCCACACGTGTGGGAGTACCGTGGGGTCTCGCCAAAATCAGGCTGCTGCCATCGGGTCGACGCCCCAGGAAAATGGAAGACATGCACAACAGTGAAAAGTGTCTGTGAATGCAAACTGACGGATGACAACATGCTGGGAACACATGAATGAAAAACAACCCCCCCCGGGGAAAAGCAGGGTTGAAACCCACAAGAAAGCGAAAACACCAGAACGGTGAAAAAAAGGGATAACCAAATTGGTGCAATGTGAACCCAGGGCTGAAGGAATAAAAATGACGCTGCAATGGAAAAAGCGTTTCCACATGTTTGAAAATTAATGAATGCTTACTTGAGCCAAAATGTAATGAAGCATTACATTGATTAAAACACAAATGAAACAAGTACATTAAGAGTTTTCAGGAATTGCCAGCTGCAGATTGCTGATATCTGCATGAGGTGATGGTGTGCCTGGCGCATGTGCAGGTGTGCTTGGCATAGGTGCAGGCGTGGCTGGCACAGACATGGCGCCAGGTGTGGCTGGCGCAACTGCAGGTGTGGCCGGTGTCCCAGAGGGGCCCGGAGGCTCCGTATGCACCCCACGCAAAGCGTCGGCCGCAGATCCCGCTTGCTGAATGAGCAGGGTTTTGGCAATACTGTCAAGGTCAGCCGGCATCTCCTCCCATGAGCAGCTGGATTCACAAACATGATGAATATATATATTATATTATATATATATATAACACGCATAACTTCAGATATCTCGATTGAGCTCGTATGTGCAAGAAATGCCGCATGCCTTCTGCGCCAGCTTCGGCTGCGCATCCGATCCAACCGTGGCCAAAGGTGTAGCTGCATCCTGTCGCTCCTGAGTGTACAAGTTTATGCAGCAAACCGTAAACCAGTATGTGCCCTGTGTGTGTGTCCTGCTGCAGTTGTGCAGCTGCAGCCGCGGGCATGGGCAAAGGTGCACCAAACGCAGCATCAATATGGCGCACATCCTGTGCATGCATGAATCAAAATAGTGCATCCAAATTGTGAAGTCCATGGGGCAAGTTGGCTACTGCGTGATCGTCATATGGACAAAATATGGATCATTCCTGCTGGGGTGGTGCGACTGGAGCCGCAGGTATCGGCTGCATAGGTGCAGGCGCAGGGGCTGGCACAGCACCCTGGCACTTCTGCTATTGCATAAACAAAAAATGCAACAATTTGCACAGAGGTGCATGGACACAAGTGAGCAAATTACACCACACTGCATAATCAATCATTTTCACACAAACTGATTGCAGGTGTAACTGTCATGACATCCATTGTAAATATTGCAAGTATTAGATACATCGTAGATGAGCCTGCTGGAGTGGTGCTGCTGGAGCCGTAGGCATAGGCGCAGCGGCCATAGGGGCCGGCACAGCACCATGTTGCACATCCTGCATACATCACACAGGTCAAGATTGAAGCTGGTGCATGCATGCGGCAGCTGACTGCATATATACACAACTCATATAAATTTATCAGTATAAACCATTTAATCTATCATCCATCATAGCCGCAGTTGCAGGCTCCTGCATGCATGGTCAGGAATTAGTTGCAACTATCGAGATCAGCAGAACAAATATATGCCATGCTGTGAGATGACGCCATGCACAGTATCACAATGGTTTACGTTAGGCTTCGGTGCGGCCTCATGTCGAAGAAACATGTACAAACCGTGTGTTTTTTTGTGTGAATCAATCTGCATACTGGCCTTGTATGAAGTGGGCATGTCAGCAGTCATCTCCTGCAAGGGCCGTTTGCATTTGAAGGCTTGCCAGAAGTCCACATACTTTGCTCTCTCAGCTTGGGTAAGCACTGGCAGTTTATCCTTGTCTTTGGACTCGTTCATGATCTTGTGCCTCTTGGCGCGGGCTTCCGTACTTTCAGGTGCAACAAGCAGATCGGTTGCAGACAGAGCATCCATGCCACGTTCCAGTGTACCAGACCTATTCAAACCATCCTGTGGCAGCTGCTTTCGCTTGGGCTGAATCGAATCTGGGACAATCCCATTCGAGGACATGGCCCATGCACTTGTATCTGGACTGGCGACAGAAGCCGCGACCGCATGCTCAATGGTTGTATCTGAAAAGGATGATGCTCTGCACATCATCGACTCTTGCCGATGCATCGTGGGTGCATGAGTTAGTGCACCACCCACTGCATTAGGCGTCTCCTGCACGATGGGGTATGGACATTGTTTGGAAAATACAAGAGCACAAGCATGTTCAAAAAAGGGAATAATGCAGTCCTGGTGTGATGCAGCTGGCATCACAGCCGCGCCAGGGGCAGAGTCCTGCGAGGCGTACACAAATAACACACACATTATATATACAACTGCAGGCGGCATAGAGTAATGTTTGCAGTCCTGTTTGGGTGAAACAGGCATTGCAGGAGCTGCTGCCGGCAAAACCGTACTGTAATGGGGCGCAGCCTGAACATCGATATGTCACACATGGCATCACTTTATTGCGGTGAAAACATTGTATATATGATCCATGTAGTCCTGCTGGGGTGAAAGTGGCATTGCATGTCGGAAGGACAAAATTAAAAATCACATACCGTCCTCCGTGGGTGAAGGTGCTGCTTGCCCACTTGCTGCCAAAGCGCTTTGTGGCATATCCTCAATTTTCAACATGAAGCTTAGACTCATCATGGTGATTCGTATATGATTCAGTCCTGGTGGGCTGCGGCCACTGGAGCCGCTGGCATGGGCGCTGGAACAGGTGCTTTGGCCACGGGGGCTGGCAAAGCCCCAGGCACTACCTGCAGGCATGAATCGAGATCGAATGCATCGACTGCATGGAAAAGGTGGATATTGCATAATATTGCATATATGCGTGATCAATTTATATATCATAGTCCTGGTGGGCTGCGGCCAGTGGAGCCGCTGGCACAGGCGCAGGCGCAGGTGGCAAATATCCAGGTGGCACTGCCTGCAAGCAGGCATCACAAGTCGAGATCAAATGCATCAACTGTATGAGAAAGGTGGCTATTGCATATATGCATGATCAATTTATAGATCATAGTCCTGGTGGGCTGCGGCCAGTGGAGCCGCTGGCATGGGCGCAAGCGCGGGTGCTTCGGCCACAGGGGCTGGCAAAGCTCCATGTGGCACTGCCTGCAGGCATCACAAGTCGAGATCGAAGATATCAACTGTATGAGAAAGGTGGCTATTGCATACATATATAATATGCATGATCAGTTTATAGATCATAGTCCTGGTGGGCTGCGGCCAGTGGAGCCGCTGGCACAGGCGCAGGCGCAGGTGGCAAATCTCCAGGTGGCACTGCCTGCAAGCAGGCATCACAAGTCGAGATCAAATGCATCAACTGTATGAGAAAGGTGGCTATTGCTTATTTTCGCTAACAAACCACAAGACGATGGGGAAGGATCAAACGTATAGATCCATATTCATATATGTGGTTTATTTATTTAAACTAACAATAAAACATCAAGAAGAATAATATATAACAACAAATATCTCGAGGATACGCGAGCCATCGAAAGTGTGTTTCCAAATCGTGATCATCAAACTGCACAAGGACATGCGGATAAATCACAAAAGCAAATCGAAACAAACAAACAATGGACATCACTGAAATGAAAACGTGGCGGTGGAATGCTGCCTCTCTTTTTGTCGCGGATTCACTTCGAATGCACAGTCGGGGTAAAGACAGGAAAGGTTGCAGTTTCAACCTGTAGCGAACAAATCATGTTTTTGTCACAGGAAGGTGGCAGATGATGCTATCTGCGTAGGGTCAAGCTTTCCGGTTGCATGCTTCCGGAACACCCGTTGATATACCCCCCCGCAGCGTGGGTGGGTGAACGTAGTGAAAGTAGGGTGGGTAACGCTGCCCTCTTAAAAAGGGTGGAATTCCCACCCACCCTCCCTTGAAACGGAAAACATCAAACGAATGAAAAATCACACATGTGAACATGAAGTATCATCGATGTTTCCAGTTAAACAGGGAGACAACCAACAAACTGTTTACTGTTTGTGTTTGTTTGTTGTTTGGTGGTTTCAGAGTTTTTTTTTTGGGTCTTGTTAATTTGTCCCACTGGGACAAATTTTTGTTGTCGTGAAAATAAGGCATTCATCTTTGATTCTCAAAGAGGTGTTGCTTATTTTCGCTAACAAACCACAAGACGATGGGGAAGGATCAAACGTATAGATCCATATTCATATATGTGGTTTATTTATTTAAACTAACAATAAAACATCAAGAAGAATAATATATAACAACAAATATCTCGAGGATACGCGCGCCATCGAAAGTGTGTTTCCAAATCGTGATCATCAAACTGCACAAGGACATGCGGATAAATCACAAAAGCAAATCGAAACAAACAAACAATGGACATCACTGAAATGAAAACGTGGCGGTGGAATGCTGCCTCTCTTTTTGTCGCGGATTCACTTCGAATGCACAGTCGGGGGAAAGACAGGAAAGGTTGCAGTTTCAACCTGTAGCGAACAAATCATGTTTTTGTCACAGGAAGGTGGCAGATGATGCTATCTGCGTAGGGTCAAGCTTTCCGGTTGCATGCTTCCGGAACACCCGTTGATATACCCCACTGACTTAAGTGTGCAGGAAGAACCACTGAGAGAAGTTTGGCTTGGGTAAGCCAGGTCACGTTAAAGTTCAGCCTAGATGCGTCGTCTGCTGGGTTGCTAGCGGACGGGACTCGTCCGAACCATGGTAACAAACCTAACAACTTCTCATACTTGACAAAGTCTCGCACCATGCCGGCTGCCGCTGGGGTGGCTCCCTCCGCACGGACAAAGGCACTATGTGCTGCAGTATTGTCTAAGTAAAACACAACGTGGCTCTTCTCCAACAACTTGGCCCATATCCTGATGGCTACCAGGACTGGGAGGATCTCAAGCTCATATATTGGATGTTCTGAATGTTCCAGGAATTGGTCCAGCAAGGTCTGTGGAACAGGCAACCCAAAGAACTCTAATGACCTTCCCCATTCATCAACTAGTAGGCCACCAACAGTGGCAGGTGTATTGGAAGTGGGTTCAAACGCTCCATCCGTGAAGACAAAGAAGGTGCTGGAATGAGATAGGGAGACTTGGACTGGTCTGGCTCTGACCAGTTCCTCCGCCAGAAATTTCAACGCATGGTTCAGGTCATCGGGCTTGTTGATGGTTTTGGTTTTGAACCTTGCGTATCTCGAAATCACCCTCACTGCAGTATTCAACTCTCGGCCAAAAACATAGGAACTGAACCACACCAACCGACCATGCAGTTTCTCCAGCGCTTTCACCTCTACCGTCTCGACCTGCAAAAATTCATGCAATGTGGCTAGGAGCTCTTCTCGTCTTTTGTCAGTGTGACCTAAGACAAAAGACCCATGGTCGGTTTCAGACAAGTCGAATTCCAACCCCAGGGTTTTGAACTTCTCCGCAAAGTCTGGGGCCTTGGGGCCCGTCTCAGCATATTTCACTCCAAGCAAACGCAACAAGGACTCTACACAGAAGGTCACCTCTTGAGCCGTCTGCCTGGTACACAAAGCAGTATAATCATCAAAGAAATTGGTCCAAATGAGCCGCAGCCCCACCGTGCCAATGAACTTAATGGAAGCTGCTATGCGCAAGAATGAAGAGACAGAGGCTGTGGCCCCGAACGGTAGCGATTGGACCGCAAAGAACTTGACTCCGCCGCCCGGGTGACGCTGGGCAATCCTGAGAGGTTTTTGGTGCTCGACGTCGACCCCAAATTGCTTATAAGCGCTTTTCAAGTCAAACGTCCTACCCACAAGATTCAGCAGAGCACTTTCACCGCATTTTTTCAACATCACAAGGATGGTGGCCGTCAGCTCGTCCACCGACTCCACCCTGAGTTTTTCGGCCATGCCCACCGTTTGGTTAACTCCAGCTGCTGAAAAATCGTCGATCAACCACAATTTACCGCCCTGCTGCAAAGGAAAGCGTTTGGCTACATGCACCACACGCAAATCTGAAACTTCACAAGGTTCTAGTCACCCATTCTGAATCTCTGCCTGGGTTTCTTCCCAAGCCGGGACATCCAACTCTGAATCTCCGGCCTGTGCCAACGATTCCACCACTGCATGGTTCAGTCCAAGTGCAATGCCCCGCAATTGATCCACGGTCATGTCTGGAGGCCGCACATCAGGCACAAAAACTCCTGATTCTTCGGTCCAACCTGTCATAGGGAAACCTCGGATGATTTCGTCCACCACCTTGGCATCTTGGTATCCTAGTTCAAGCAAAATTTCACGCCACAATAAGAGGCGTTTGCCTGCCAGGACCCTGCGCAAGTGTGCAGGCAACTTGGAGTGCAAATCCTCCTCATGTTCATGCAACTCTTTTGCCCTTTGCAACCATTTTTTCAAAAACCGGGCTCTAAGCAAAGAAAGTTTCGCCGCATTCCCCAAAAGATGATGCACAGCAACTTCAGCCTCACTACTCACCCTTGCAAGCAAGAAACGTGGATGCCCTAATGCCACTGCAGCTGCAATGAACTCGGTTGGATCTCTTGGAACGCCTACTTTCACCAGTTCGAAGGTTTCTCCATCATCCAAATGGGAGACCATGGTGGCACTCTTTTGGGTCATGAAAACGTCCCGCCTAAACCCCCATTGAATTTGACGTGACACTATTTTTGAACCCTTAGGACAAAGTTTTTCCAACTGCAATTTTGAAGCATCCTCCAGGCTTACTGCCATGACTAGAAAATGACCAAACTCAGACAAAATCGGCCACAACTTCTGCTGACGAGGTTGTGTAGTGAACAACTGCCTTTTTCCGACTGCGCTGTCGTGTTGCAGCTGCTGTGTCAAACTGTCATCTGGTGCTAAGCCTCGGCAGGTTGCTTCTTGCAAAAGGATGCTTGCCATGCGTTCACACAGAAGAACTGGGTATGCAGCTTCGTCCTTGGTTGGAAAAATCCATCGGCCATCAACAAACCGAGGCCGCCATGACTGGTGTGGATGGCTCCTGTCACACTCCAGAGCCAATGATGCAAACAGGTTTATTTCTGGGGCGCGAGG